GTCCCCAGGCCTCGTTCCACCTGCGGGTCCCTGCACCTCAGCCTAGAAATACTAGCCGCGCACCCTCCGTCTGACTCCCTCCTCCCAGGGCCCCTCGTACCCTAGGCGGGACTTCACTACCCCCGCCCCCTGCAACCTGGCTTCTCAATTGAGGAGTTCGGGTTTCTTCCTCCAGAAAAGGGGAGCCGGAGGAGGACTTGAAACAGGGGTGTCCTTTTCAGGTTTGCGTTTTAGAAAGGTCCCGGCGGCTCCGACGAGGAGACGGGACTGTAGGGGGCTGGGATTGGAGCCGAGGACGAAGTTCCGAGGCCACTGGTACAGTGCAGGTGACACTTGAGGCCTGAGCTAGAGCAGCGGCAGCAGGGAGGGGAGGAGTGGGTTTAGATTTTGGGGAGGTGAGTGGAATGCAGGGACTGGATTGGGGGTGAGGGTGGGAAAGGCGTCTGGGACGGCTCCCAAGTTTCTGGCTTGGACAGCGAAATGAGTGGAGGCGGTGAAGGGGGGCGACGAACTCAGCCGTGGGTTTGCCTGAGTTTAAGGTGCCTGCGGGTCACGGCCCACCAGGGGCGCAGGCTCCCCAGACCGTGCAGTCCCACGAATGTAGTGGAAGCTAACGCCCCGAGGTAAGATTGTCAGCAGAAACTGCCTCGCCTTTAGTACATCAGACGAAGTCCAGGCGAAAATTCTACCAAGCCCGTTCTCTCGAGCTGTATTTGTTTGCAGCACGTAGTCTGGTAGCCTTTACCAGCTCTTTTTACTATTTCATTTCGGCCTATCTAATCAATAACCTTCAGCGTTTTAAATAGATGGGTTGGTCAGATCTACAGTTATTTCAAGTGCTCAGCTAAAAATATGACCATTCGTTCCAGTATTCACTCCTACCTCTTTCCTCTCATTAATTTCTCCTTTGACTTACTGCAATAACTTCTCACAAGTTTGGTTATGCAGTTACCCATCTTTTAAGCCAATTCAAGCCTTGTCTTCTCCAGGGAGCCACCTCCGCTACCCCTCAGTAAATTAAGGGCCCACAACTTGTGTATAACTTTTACTGCACATACGGTCCTTTAGTACTATCAGTTTATGTATGTGTTTCTTCCACTGGCCTGTAAGCTCCATGACAGGATCTTGCTTTACTCATCTATAATCAATGGCCCAGAGTGTTGTGAGACGAAGTGCATGCACTGTACTTTACTAAACAGAACTGCTAGTGGTTTAGCAATTCTAGTTCCACAGTGTGAATCTGAATCTTTTCAGAAAAGGGTTTGTAGAACAATCTCACCAATCTTGGGTTTACAAATTAATTCCAATTTAACAGTTCAAGTATGTTTTTTTTTTAAAATAACAGAAATAAAAGGTGTTTTACTTTGTTATGATTATAAATGTAATACCCTTAGTCTCAGGAAATAGGTCTCTTCTGCATTTTACTTTTTTTGCCCCAAACTTGAGATTATCTTCACTTCTATCCACCCATGATCACTCCCAGCTTTCATAGTGACATTTACATCTGACGCAACTGCAGAAAACTCCTTAGGCAGGATCTCTTTGAATACATCTTTTTTACCTTATTGGTAAAAAATTAATTGCAGTCATTTTATAGAGCCTTCTAGCACTCTTGAACACAGAATTTTTACACATGCAATTTAGAAAAACAGACCTATATCATTACAAACTACCTATTTGAAGTCTGAGCTTTTGTGACACAGAAAAACCCCTCGTATGTCTCAGTTGCCACTCCCTCCCCAGGTTGCTGTAAGGATTAAATGAAATAACCTACTAAAGGACTTCCCTAAAACAGGTAGGTTCCTCTAAGAAGGGATATTTAAAATGCTGATCAACCATAAGATGAGGAGCTTGGCCAGAATCTGAATCAAAAATCTTCCTTCATTTAGCAAATATACTACAAAAAATGTCAGCTGAGCTAAACAGTACACTCAGATACTTCTATTCTGGTGAAAACCCCTTATCTTTTCACAGAACAGTAACAAAAAGCTTACAGAGCAGCAGCCAGTCCAAGCTTTTGGCCCATCCAGCATCTTTTTTTTTTTATCCTCACCTGAGGATATGTTTATTAATTTTAGAGAGAGGGAAATATCGATGTGAGAAACATTAATCAGTTGCCTCCCATAAGCACCCCAACTGCAGATCGAACCCGCAACCTAGGTAAGTGCCCTCACTGGGAATTGAATCTGCAACTTTTTGGTGATGGGACGATGCTCCAACCGAGCCACCTGGCCAGGGCCATCCAGCATCTCTTAAACAATTTTGCTATAAGCTCAGATAAGTAAAAACCAGAAACATTTCACCAGTCTCTCTTATAGCCAGAACAGAGTTATGTGACCTAGGAACTGTCAGTCAAAGGCACCCATGTAAGGTTTTGATTAGGAAGACACACAAAAGGAAGGAGATAGATGGTAAAATTCTTTATTCTGGTCAGGACACATACATCTAGATTTGGGGCTGCAGAGACTGCCACGGAGTGGTCAGCGATAGCAGTGCAGGCTGTAGTGTCCGTACCCAGCCCCACAGCAATAGTGTATTTGCCAGAGAAGGCCCGAGGCATGTTGTGAACATTGTTTCTGACTGTGCAGCTTTGAAGACCAACTCTGGCCATTCCAAAGATTATTTGGTTTATTCTCATTTATAAAGTTTGAAATAGGTTTCAAGTTTAGCCATTAGATACCCTTATAAACTTAACATTTTTGTGGTCAATTTTAAGCCTAATAAAAAATATAACTCCAAAAAATCCAAAACTAACTGTAGTTTACCCAGATCTTATAGACAATGAGTGTTAACCTGTATTATTTAATCACATTAAGTTTTTAATTTTAACTTTACTTAAAAAAGGTCAAAACAATTCTAGCATTATTTTGAATAGACCCAAAATTAGGTAGCTATAATTTGGACTTCTAAAAATAACTAATATTTCTCCTACAATAATGAAAAATGGCTCCGGGGTGTGGGGTGGGGTGTGGGGGGAAGTGTTTTTTAGATAATGTTGGGTATTCAATTTCAAGGTCAGAAAATTGAGTCCAGTCTCTCCTCTTTCCTTTTCTCAATCTCACAGCCAGGAATATAGAAGAGGTCAAGAGCTTGGTTAGCACAATAGAAAGGAGACTACTTATTTTTTCTCTGGGATGGGTTTTAGCCACTATACCCTTTCATCTAAGAGTTAAGAAAACATTTTAGCTGCTAAATGATAAGCAAAGACAACCTTCTACAGAGGCTGCAAAATTATAGTTTCACAAATAACTGTGTTGAGACACATACTTTAGTCATTTCTTTCTTTCAATATATTTTATTCTGATGAAGTTACAAAAGTAGATACAAAATACTTTTTTTTTAAAGTACAGTTAACTGACTTAGAAAAATAGATAAAGCCCCTAAAGGTTTAAAAATACAACATAAATTTTCATGTAAAGAACATTTAAAAATATTTCAGATAATAACCAAGACTAACTTATGCAAGCTATTTTTCGATGTAGACCAAACATATAATAAATCAGCAATCCATCTGGATTTACAGAATACTTGTTTGGAATAGAATCTGATGAGAGAAAACCCAAGTGAATTCCAATGCAGTTGCTTCAGTAAGATTATCAAATGTAATATCCCCCAAAAGCCTTTTACAGTCTGAAATATCAAAATCTAATGCAAAAACACAGGAAGGCTGAGGGACTACTATTTTCCCTCTTTGCCGGAATTCTACAATAGTAAATCCACTTACTGAACAGGTATCAGAAGGAAATAATGTCCCTGTTGAAGGTGCTCAGTTTGGTGTCCCAGCCAGGATTCTACAGACGAGACAGCCTCCTCTAATCACGAGGGGTAATACCAGTGCCATGACTGGGGCTGCTTCAAAACAAATTTCTAGGACTTATATTCTTTAAGCCTGATTTGTTTATGCTTCTGAGGTAATGTTAAGTTTAGAAGCTCCACTTCTAGTATAACCTCACTGCTCACAGAAAGGGCCAACAGTATCATCAGGAAACCTCAGCAATGCTTGCAAAAGTTCCAATCACCACCAGGATTGCTCCTCTTGCCTCATACTACTAGGAAAACTTCCCTTTTGTTGTTATCAGAGTGATGATGACTACAGATTTGCATTTCCTGGGCAGGCAGCTACATGAGCTAGGGCTCTATGGGTCTAAGATGAAATACTTTGTTAGCTGGCAGCCCTCTAAAATCACTTTATTCAGTCTGGAGACAAATAAAGAATACATTTGGCTGTCGATACAAAAACTGTAGTAGGAGGAAGATTCAATATTTAAACAAAAATCGGCACATCACTGTCCAAAATTTTTTTAAAGGCCTGAAAATAAAAGCACCAAAGGATTAACTGCATAATTTACAAAGCACTCTACCCCATGACTGTTATCAGGTGTGAGGAGTGGATCAGCTATTGAGAGAAGATGACTTGTGTGATTAGGAGGGGTCAGGGTAGGGAGTGTTGTCCAATAGGCAGACCCTTGGGCATAGGGAGATAAATCAAAAGTGAGATAGTTAAAGACAGACTGTTTTCTTCCAACTCTTATCAAAACTTGGCCCTTTAGCCAAGTCAGGAAGGGGCCATCGTCTCCCCATTCCTTCAGTTCTCCTGCCCTCAACTCCCTGGCCTTGTATATAAACAAATAACAGTAACACTGATGTTCAGGTGCCTTGTTGGTTAAGCCACATTAATATGGGAACCTGGTAAAGTTTTTATTTTTTTTTAAAGGACAGTCTGAGTCTCAAATTACTATTCTAATGTGACCATCTTTGGTTCATTTTGGGGCTAAGTCATGAAGACAGGGAAGATTTCTGTCACTGAAAATAAATGGAGAAAAGAACCCTTTTGCTTGAGAATATTTGAAATATTAGAAATGATGATAAAAGTACAACCCTAGTCGATAAATCTAACTTTATTCCTTGAAGACTTAATTAAAGCCAACAAGGGTTAAAGTTGAGAAGCAGTAACATTCTCAGTGGTATCTAGAAACCTGCTTTCTTGTTCGTAAATGATGAACATAAACATACAGACCGCCTGACAGGGACCTTTGAGTAAACTTAAAATGTGGATTGTGGAATGTCTCATAGAGGGCTTTTCTCTTTTTTTCATAAGTGATTATCCCACTCTTTAATTCCTGAAACAATGAGGTATGGTTTTAGCCTAATTAGATAAAATGCTTGGTTCCTTTAAAATTCGGTATATATTTAATAATTTATTGAAATTGACTTATTATAAAAACAGAGTTGCTAAGTAATTCTCTTCCTTATACTCTAGTGGAATAATAAAAATAAATAACAAAAAAACCCTACCAAAACTAACCTTTGCCTAAGCCATCAAGAAGTTGGTGAGTACTTTGCAAAAGTCACAACTCTGAAACAGAATGCTGGTGAACTTAAAATGGTGCCAGTCTGGCAAATCATAGTTATTATTGTGCCTCGATACATGTAAACAGTGAGAGGTCACTAAATCCTAGAAACCTAATGAAAATCAGATCTTTTCTTCATTAAAGGGGAAGATTCTCTTTATCTGAATAGAAATAGAATAATTTCAAGTTTTGATACAAAAACAATTAACACAGGATAAAATCCCTCTGGGGGCTCAATCCATCCTTTGACTATTAACAGAATGAAGATTTTTTAACTTATTTCTCCCATGTTGTCTCCTTTAAACATACACACACACACACACAAGAATAGGAAACACACCAAACTTTTCGCTGTGTTACAAAATCTGTACACCTTTCCAGGTGTTTTTATTGTGGTTTTCCTTGAGTTTTATCCTTATTGGGATAAAGTTGGTGCATTTCTACAGTACTCTTCACTAAGTCTCAAGCCACACACAAAAAACACACAGAAGTAATTTTTTTAAAAAAGAAACTCAAAACAAAACAAATCAAATCAAGTAATCTGAGCATTTTCTTCCATTCTCCTATCCAGAACTTCAAGGCTTTCTGAAAGACAACGTAAGTGAAAAAATAGTGGTTTAAGACCTTAATTTGTCGTACTTTTTTGGAAGTTTGCTTTCTGTCGGCCAAAAGCTACATATTCAAATTAACCTGAATGAACTATTTTTTAAAAAAATCTACAAGACTACCTTAGATGCCTTAAAAAAAAATTATTTCTGATACACACATACTCCTAAACAGATAGGTTCGTATGTGAATAAAATCCAATAAAGATTAAAAAATAAAGTCATTTTAGAAATAACTTTGGTTGCTCCCATACATGTCATATGATGATTTAAATGGCAATCATGGATTGTGAAAAAATATACATATATGTATTATCTATAAAAACACTAGTATACAACTTCAAACTAAACTGTTATCCAAAGTGACACAAATTGTTCTAAATCTTAAGGAAACTTAAAAATACCTCTTCTACAAACAGAATAAAACCTATTGAGTTATTAGCAAATTTGTTGTGGAAACTTGTTAATAAATTATTGGTGGAAATTCTCAATATCCACTATGCTGTAACCTGAAACAGACAACATCATTTTCTTTAGTAAAAGAATAAGTAAACCGATGAATCATGATATATGAAAACCAAGTGTGACTCAGTGACAGTAACAAGAGTGGTCACACAGTGCTTCAGATTCGGCTTGTGTCCTGACTTTCTCACTCTGAAGGTATTAGGCCAACCTACCTTTGGGGCAATTTTTATCAGTAGACACAGGCAATAGGTGTCTTTTTATCCTGTTTTCTTAAAGTTTGTATCACTAGTCTCTAACAGATAGCAATGAGATAGCTCTAGCAGTAGATGAAGCAAGAGGGTAACTGTGTACTAGAAGAAACATTTATCTGTCTTTTGATCCAAGCTTCTCAATTAATTCCTGAAGAGGTGCCAACTCACGCCTATCAATCAGATTAAACTCCTAAAAAGAGAAGAAAAACAAAATTTAAAAACAGACCTAAAATCACAACTCTGTAAATGTCATCCAGAGAAAGTAACCCAACCTGTTTTCTGAAATCCAAAAGAATGATGAAATGATCTCTGTGAACATTTTAAAATAGAATCATTTTTACTCCTTTTTAAAATATAGGGGACTTACTAAATAAGCAACTGTATGTAACAGCATGATGCTCACTGGGTAAAACATTAAAATAAGAAGTGTGTTTGCATGTACATAGAAATTATCTGAAAACTGTACATGAACCATTGATAGTGGCCACCTCCGAGGCAGCAGACTTTTTCTTTTCCTGTATCTATAGCTATAGCTGCACTCTCTATCTATGCCATGCAACAATCTTGGAAGACAGAGAAGAGCACAGTACCTCCTCCTCTGTGTGATACATGGAATTGTAATACACAACTATCTACTATAAAGCTGCTGGTTTTTCCACCAAAAAAATAATATCTAGACATATTTGTATTTTCATATAGAATATATGACTACATCTCTAAAGTGAGACTAAAGAAGTCCCATCTTTTTCAAACAATGTGAATTATTTTAATTTTTGAAGTTTCTAGCTGCTGACTTCATAAGATTTGGCCTTAGGTGGGACTTCTGGAAACTGAACCCAAGACAGCAGGTAACAGGTTCTTCCAAAAGCTTCTCTCCCAGGCATAAACATCTCATGAAACAACCCAACTTCAGACATTTTCCTAGCAGTGGTGAACAAGCTTTCTTGGGTTTCTGGTGCTCCTTTTCATATTCCAACCAGAGACCTGGGCAGCCAGAGACAGAAAACCCAAAATGGGGGTGATGCTTTCTATGCTGCTGTGAGCATCAATGAAGTAAACAACATGGAAAAGAAAGCCCTGCTTATACTTCGCTCTACATTTATAAATAAGACCCTCTAAATTGCTCTTTATTAAAGTTACCAAGCCAAGTATGTCCAAGTCAAAGGACAAAGGAGTCAGTATGGTTCAACTTACCTGAACAAAGAAAATAAAGTGCTTAAAGGAGGTGTTGAGGTGGGCCTCCTCTTGCAGCTGCATCACAGAATCAAAGTGCTGGTGATAAATATGGGCATAAACCCTGAACAGACGTTTCAGAATGGTCTTTGCCACAGACATAAAGTTTTTGGGAAATGGAACACCTATAATCAAATATACATATATACCCATTAGTCTTTTATCTAATTGAACAGCAGAAAGTTCAAATACAGCCATGAGCAACTCCGACAAACATACACATTCACAAATAAAAGCCTATTCCATATTTTTTTTTTAAAAGGCAAGGGAAAGAAGAATCCCAAACCTAAGTATATGAGGTATGCTCACATACCACACCTTTTCTGTCTTACAAAGCAGGCATCAAAAGTTACGTATAAGAGCTACTGAATCAAAGTTAAACCTAATTTTAGTTGTTTAATATTGAAGAGTCTCTTCCTAAGATTAAATGCAACAATATTAAGTATTTTGACTATAAATAGAATATTTTTACTTTGTAATCTGTAACTCTAAAAAAAATTTTTACACACTCAACTAGGACTGGAAAATCTCCTAAGGAAAAGAAAAAAAAGAGCACATTTCAAGTCATCATAATCTACTGTTTACAAATATTTTATCTTCTGAATTACTGTAAAAGCCAGTTTCCTTAAACTAGAAACATTTTATTTTTTTAAAATGCTACTTTCATTTGTCTGTAGTCTAAGAAGAGGATATACTTCCTGAAAAAGGGAGGAAGGGCAGCTCCCTATTTTTCAAAGAAAATAAACACCCCCTTAGAAAAGAACTGGGAGAGGATTTGGTAATCTCTCTCCAAGCAGTGCAGGTAAGGATGCAACTGGTTACATTCCTGAGAATTTTGGTTAACAAGACCATTGTCTCTTAGAAGGTAGGGATAGGAGAAAGACAACACAACTGGCACTGAGTATAGTAAATAAACACATAAGAAGGTGTCTGCTTCCAAAATAACCTTAAAGGTCTGTTACAGAATATTTACTCTTGAAACATTTTCTTTAATCTTTAAAAGGACAAAAGCTAAAACACTTTCTCCTTCCATGAATTGTTTTATTTCTCAATTAGTCCTTAATAGCTTGAAATTTAGTATATTTTGCTCTTAAAAGCTGATTTTTGTGGGGAATTCCCCCTACCCCCAGGCCTGGCTAACAACTTGCCCTTTCAAACATTATTCTGGAGCTTATGGGCATGTTTTTATGAAATGGGTCCTATATTCATGTACTGAAAAGATGAATTTTTATGTCAAAACTCCTCTTCAAAATTTACAAATGGGCATCTTGCTAATAAAAGGAGCAGTAATAACTTGGATATCATTGTTTAAAAATGAATAAGCAATTTCGTCTAATAAAAGTAAATAACTGACATAAGTAAGATGTGGATAGTAACCTAGTGAGGGGGAAAAGAATTCCAGAACCTTAGGATAAATTACCGATGAATAGGAAGCTGAGAAAAGAGAATAAAGTCAAAAGTGCTCTTTATCTTCCATAAGAAAACTTTAATGAATAAAGAAATATAATTTGTTTTACTCTAAGCACTTTCAAGCTGAATTTAACAGAAACATTCAAGCATAGTCACTATACAATAACAAGTCTATGAGAAAGGAAATAAAATGCTTAATAATAGAATGAAAAAGTTGACCAATAGCAAACAGATGACGTGTAACATGATATAACTTTTTCCCCTAAAAGACCTTTTAGACTGTAAATAAGCAATCTGCTATGGTCTGAATATATGTGTCATTCCTCCCTCCCCCTCCCCCTTGCAAAATTCATATGTTGAAGTCCTAACCCCTGGGTGATGGCATTAGTAGGTGGAGTTTTTGGGAGGTGATTAGGTCACCAGGTCTGACTCTTCATGAATGGGATTAATGCCCTTATAAAAGAGGCCCCAGAGAGCTGCCCTGCCACTCTGTGAGGCCTGGGTGAGAAGTCAGCAGTCTGGCAGCCTGGACGTGGACCTTCACCAGAAACTAACCACACTGGCACCCTGATCTCAGGCATTCAGCCTTTAGAACATTAAGAAATAAATTTCTCTTGTTTATGTGCCATGGTATTTTTGTTATAGCAGCCCGAACAGACAAGACAGAATCCAACAGTATGTTGTTTATAAGACACCCTCACCCTGAAAATGACAAGGACCAAATCTCATCCTTCAATACCAATTCCAAAATCTTAATCAAAATATTAGCAAATAAAAAATACTCTTCCAGGAGAACATTAAAAAAAATAATAATGGAGAAAACCTTATGGTCATCAACAACACATACAGGAAAAGTATCTGATAAAACTCTACAACCATACACCTGACTTTAGAAAATTCACACACTTCTAACCAAAAGCAAGATTCCTGCTTAATGCTAAGACACTAGAAGCACTCATAAAAGGAAACAAGAAAAGGATGTCTGCTATTATCACTATTAGCACTGACCTGGAAGTACTAGTTTTAAGTACAATTAGGTAAGAGTTACACAAGAAGTATACATTATCAGAAAGAGGCAAAATTATCATTATCTTATATGATATAAATGTATACTTTAAAAAAGCTCAAGAAAAACAACCCACAACAACAGGTACAATCAAAATCTGGCAGTCGATTATAACATTTACATAAAAATCAACAGCTTTTCTATATACTAAGCACTAACCAGTTGGAAACCGAGTATTAGTAAAAAAAACATTAAATGCCTAGGAATAAACTTAAGAAACGTGAAGGATTAGCATAAAGTAAACTATAGAATTTTATAAGAGGAAATAATAAATAAGAGACATGAATAAATGAAGAAATATACCTTGTTCTTGAATAGGAAGACTCAGTATTGTCAAGAGAACAAGAATCCCTATATTAATCCACAAATTGAATAAAATCATAATAAAAATCTCACAAAGATTTTTTTTTTTACCTTGACAAAATGATTCTAAGTTCTTTGGAAGAACAAATATCCCAGAATAGTCGTGAATATTCTGAAAAAGAAGAGCAAGGAAGAGAGACTAGCCCTACGAGGTACTCAAAGATATATGGCCATGGTTAATTAAAAACAGTGTGGAATTTCTACAGGAACAGATAAAGAGATTAAGAGACTCCAAAATATGTGACAACTTGATAATCAGGGGAGAAAAGACACATGTATTTGATAAATAGTACTGGACAAACTGACTAGCATTTATAATGGGAAAAAATTGAAGGGAACAGTGAGAAAAAAATTCCTGACAGAACAAAGATTTAAATGTAAAAACAAAACCACAAAAGTACTAAATGAAAACATGGACAAATGTTTTTATTATAGTGAAGTAGGCAAAACCTTTCTAATCAGTGATTAAAATCCAAACATCATTAATTAAAAGATTAATAAGACAAAATAAGAAAGTTATATATAGCAAAAACTCTTGATGTATACAGTAAGACAAAAGGCAACCTGGGGAAAATACATACAACATTTACGACAAAAAGCTAATATCCTTAACATACAAAGAAATGAACAAAGGATATAAAGAGAAAACACACAATGATCAATAAAACAAAAAATGCTCAATCTTATCAATATCTTTAAAAGGTACCCAAAAACAAACTTATTTACCTAAATTGTAAAATGAGTAACAACCAGTATTGAAGAAACACAGGTAGACACAAACATGTCTGAAAGGAATATACATTTACAATCTTTTGCAGAGAAATTTGACAGTCTGTTACATTTTCTAAAAAGTAATAGTGTTAAAAAGCACAGATTTATCATCTAAAAAGAAAAACAGTTCTACAACATTAACTCACCAATCTTAGAAGGAAAAAGAGTTTCATCATCAAGTTGATCCTGAACCCAAGTCATCAAATAGTCAATGTATTTTGGTGCAGAACACTTGATTGGCTTTTTAATATTAGTACCATCTGCCCAATGATATTCGTATCTGAAGAGAAAAAGGTTCTACTGATAAAGTTTTCACTCAACAAATGTACAACTTGCAGTCAAAGTAGGTTCACATTTTGTCAACAGAAGTCATATGTTTACCTTTAGTAAATTACCTAAACTTCTACTGAAGATTACTGAGAATTTCCTATAAAATTATTTTGAAATGCGGTTATAATT